GCTAGTGTGTGTCCGTCTCCGGCTCCTGCAATCTCTGATCGCCCCCCCCCCGCAGGCAAGCATGAAGAGAGACAGGACGAGCATGGCTACATCTCCCGGTGCTTCACTCGGAAATACTCGTGAGTCCTGGTGCCCAGGCGTGGGGCTGGGGGTCGGGGAGGAGCACACCGGGACCCAGCCCATGTGTAACGCTTGCCCTCCGTCTCTGCCTGCCTAGGTTGCCCCCCGGCGTGGACCCCACCCTGGTCTCCTCCTCCCTGTCCCCTGAGGGCACGCTCACGGTGGAGGCCCCCATGCCCAAGCCAGCCACGCAGTCAGCCGAGATCACCATCCCTGTCACCTTCGAGGCCCGTGCCCAGATCGGGGGCCCGGAAGCTGGAAAGTCCGAGCAGTCTGGAGCCAAGTAAAGACCTGCCCTGCTGCCCACCGCTGGCAGCCATCGCTGGCCATCCCCCTCTGCCTACCTGTGTGTTCTTTTGATACGTTTCTCTTCGATTTTTCTCAAATAAAGTTCTGAAGCAACCACTTGTCACTGCCTCAGACCCTGGTGTTTATGGAGGCCGGGGACCTGCCATTTGCTGGCTTATGCATTTGTCTCCTGCTGAGGGCCTGCTCTGTGCCCAGCCCCCGTGCTGGGCCCTGGGGACATCAGCACAGCTTCACATCCATCCAGACGGAAGTTGTGATTGTAACCTGGCAATTAAAACCGCCAAGACCAGGTGTGGGAGTAGGGGAAGACAGGAGAATCACCTGTCTCAGGCTTGGGCTCTCGGGAACACCTTGACAGGGCCAGATGAAACAGGACAGAGGTAATTGTACCTCTTCACAGAGCTGATGTGAGGACTACCTTGTCAAAGGCTTGGCGCTGGCCTTAGCACACTCCAAGGGCACACGGAGGACCTGGCAGGTTTGCCATCGCGGTCTCTGTTGCAGCCGCACCCACTGAAGCCAGGATATCCCTGCTGGCAGCCACAAGGGAACTGGCAAGCACAGCAGGGGTGAGAACGGGCTGAACAGTCTCAGGCCCAGCCAGGTGGAAGGGTGGGGAGACCGGGCTGTGCCCTGGCTGAGCGACAGGCTCAGACTTGTACTGCCAGCTGTGCCAACACAATTTTTTTTTTTTTTGAGTCAGTGTCTCAATCTACCGCCCAGGCTGGAGCGCAGTGCCACGCTCATGGCCACCACAGCCTCGATCTGCTGGGGTCAGACGATTCTTCTGCTTCAGCCTTCCAAGTAGCTGGAACTATAGGCATGCGCCACCATGCCCGGCTAATTTTTTGATTTTATTGTAGAGATGAGGTCTAGCCAAGTTGCCCCGGCTGGTCTTGAACCCATGGGCTCAAGTAATCCTCTCACCTCAGCCTCCCAAAGTGCTGGGATTACAGGCGTGAGCCGCCGTGCCTGGCTGACACAATTCTTGTGTGTGTTTATTTCACTGTTGGCCTCCCTCCAGGTTCAGCCAGGCCTCCAAAGACCCTGACCCTCTCTTCTGTCCACTCTTGCCCTACCCGCCACCCTCTAACCAGGCCCAAGGAGGGTTATGAGGGATATAGAAAGCAGATGGGGGCATTGGAGCCCAGTCTCAAGGCCCCCAGGAATCTGAGGGACCGGACACTGTTGCCACCTCTGAGGTTCCAGAGCCAGAGGCTGTGGCAGGACACTCCCACATTCCTTTCTAAGCCTGCAGCCCTACTTTCCCAGGGTCCCTGGTAGGAGCAGCACCCACATGGACCAGCACACACCACCCAGCTTTTTTTTTTTTTTTTTTTGAGTCGGGAGTCTCACTCCTTCGCCCAGGCTGGAGTGCAGTAGCACGCTCACGGCCACCCCAGCGTTGATCTGCTGGGCTCCGGCGATCCTTCTGCCTCAGCCTTCCAAGTAGCCGGAACTACAGGTGCACGCTACTGCACCTGGCTAATTTTTGATCTACTGTCGAGACGAGGTCTCACCAAGTTGCCCGGGCGGTTCTCAAACCCGCAGGCTCAGGCAATCCACTCACCTCGGCCTCCTAAAGTGCTGGGATGACAGGCTGAGCCACTGAGCTCGGCCATCTACCCAGCTTCTTTTAATGTCTACTTCCTGGTGTGCTCCCTTTGTGAGACCCACATCTGAGCAGATGGGAAATTGGAGCAGGTCCAAGCCTTCCGGGCAGAGAGGGCTCTAGTTGGTCCAGCTATGAGAGTCTCCACCAGGCGTTGGGAGACTTGGTGTGTCCCTGTGCTGCTTATGGGGTGGAGGGGTGGTTTCAGTCCTCTCCAGGCCTGTCCTGCCTTTTAAACGGGTCCCTCACTGAAAGGCCTCTGAGGTCCTTCAGGTCTGTGGACTTTATTGGCCTTGATCCAACACATGACAGCATCCAGGCCCCTCTGCTCAGCATAAGGGTGCCTGAGGGGCAGTGCTTTGTATCCTGGGCTGACGGCAAAGGCTGACAGTTCCCTCAAGGTCCTCAAGTTCCTATGGCTGTGTAGGGTGACACGTACTCAGCGTCAAGGCGAGCACGCCCTAGATATGGCCCCAAGCAAGGGGTTGGGGCCTGGGGAAGGGTCCTGGGGGTGGCCAAGCCGGTCGTCCCCTTCTCCTCGGGCTCCGGCCTGGACATGCTGAGGCCAGGGCAAAGTGTTCTCCGGCCTACCACGTCTTGCACCGTGCCTAGTGAAAGTTCTTGTGCACCCTTCCTCGAGGCAGTCAGCCCCCTGGGCTGGTTCAGACCAGATCAGGCACACCGAGATAATGTCCATAATCTTTGGTTACGTTTATTTATTTATTTATTTTTCTTTTTTGAGTAGGAGTCTCACTGTGTTGCCCAGGCTGCAGTGCAGTGGCACGCTCACAGCCACCACAGCCTTGACCTGCTGGGCTCCGGCGATCCTTCCGCCTCAGCCTTCCAGGTAGCTGGAACGACAGGCCCGCGCTACCACACCCGGCTATTTTTTTGATTTATTGTAGACATGAGGTCTCGCCAAGTGGCCCAGGCTAGTCTCGAACCCCCTCAGGCAATCCTCTCATCTCGGGCCTGGCCAAGTGCTGGGGTTACTTACAGGCGTGAGGCACCGTGCCCGGCCTTGGCTACCTTTAGTTTACCTTTTAGTTCATGATAATCCTGAAAATGCCACGCCTGGAGAGAATCCACAACCATTTTGTGTACACGCCACGTGCATAAGAGCGCCTTCTCACACCGCATCTACGCACTAGAAACCCTGCCCTTTTCGGCTTAACCCCGCCCCTGCCCTGTGTGAAGTGTGAAAGGTCCGTTTGCCTTCTACAACTGGGAGCGGTCTCTCCCCGTCGAGCTGGCGGCTCCTGGACTATCCTCCCCGTAAGTTTCCACAGAAAGCCCAGGCTCCATCACTTGTCTCGGGGGCATTTCGACGACCTCTCAAACACAGGACCTTCCCTTCTGGGGTCTTTGGGAGTCTGGGACGAATGCCTGCTGTTCACATCACACCCGTTCCCCCGGTGACCTGTGGGGTGCCCGAGCCACCCTCAGACCCGGGGATCCCCGGGCTTCTGCTTCCCTCTCCATGCCCGTGACGACATCTGCCTCCCTCGTGGCTCCACGTCCGGGCCCAGTTTCCCGCCAGCGGGCTCAAGTCCCAGGTCTCAAGAGGCAGGTGGAGGAAACGGCTCAGGGGGCCATTAGTGGGGGTCGGGCCCCTCACCGGTGGGCCTCAGCGGTGGTGGTGGTGATCTGCGGGGTAGGACAGGAGCGGGTGGCGGGGAAGCAGCGTGGGCTGCCCGTGAAAGCTAGAAGGAGGGGCTGTGAGAGGCGGGTGGGCCCTGCCTCGGGACACGGAAGGGCAGGCTACCCAAGCATCTGAGGGTTTAAGCAAGCCGGGACCAGGCCCCATCCAGCTTGAGCATCCTGGCTCTTGCCCTCAACGTGGAGAGGCGGGGCCGGGTGTTACTGAAATGTCTTGGGCATGGGTCCTGCCCGGGGAGGGGAGAAGAGCCCAGGGTGGGTGTGGTGGTGTTGGGAGGTGGGGGAGGAGGGACCTGCTGAGGCCCTGAGCCCGATGGCTGCAGTTCCCTGCCTGGGACTTGCTGACCTCATGGTCTGTAAGGTCAGGTAGACCCCCGGGGCCTTGGCTGCCGGGGAGTGAGGTATCTCCAGGTGCCATCCTCTCCCCTGCTGCAGAGTGGACTCAGGGTTTAGCGGGTGTGGATTTTGACTGCTCCATTGAGGGGAGTGAAGCAAAAACTGCCCGGAGAAAGGCTCCAGAGGACCCCAGAGCTGAGTCGAAGGGCGTGGCCAGAGCCCTTGTGATGAGAGAGGGCCGCCCCAGTAGAGAAGGGAGAGGACGGCCAAGCAGAACTGGAGCACCTATCCAGGGACAGAGTTCCAGACCCCATGGTCAGCTGGCAGTCACCCAAGCCCTACGCTACCCTGGCAGAGCCCAGGGTAGGGCAGGGGTCGAGTTGGCTGGGATCCTGTCTGCTGGCCTTACCTTGACCCCCCTCACACCTCCTCACCCCTCACCCCACATGTCCATCTTGGGACCGAGGGTTTGGGACAGTCACAGAGGTCAGGGCTTGGCCCCAGACCCTGAGCTGTCAGCTCAGGATGACGGCAGGAGAGGGAGGGAGGAGGCAGAATGGTTGAGAGGTGGTTGAGGCTGGGCTGGTCTCAGCCCGTCTGACACTGGCCCCTGAGGCTCAGAACTCCTGAGGCTCAGAACCCCTGAAATGGGGGCTAAGCCCCACCCTCATGCTGCCCTCCCTGGGAAGTGGCCTCCAGAAAACGTGGGGGACCCTTTCCGGGGCTCCTCTGGGCCTGGAGGGCGTATCAAGGCATGGGACAGGAAGCATATAGCAGCCACGAGATCCTCTGATCTGTAAATGTCTGGTGTGGATCGGAAAAAGGTGCCCCTCCAGGCCGGGACCCAGGGCCTGGTGAGACTCAACTCACCCCTTTGGGCAGATACCTTTCCCAGAAACTGGCTGGCCTAAGCCCTCAGCATACAGAAGGGACCTGAGGCCTGATAGGACCTGCACTTGCCCAGGGTGACCCAGCAGGTCAGGGCAGAGCAGGACACGAGGTGGTCTCTGAAACCACTCCCTGGTGTGTGCCCCCCACCCCAAAGCGTGGACTGCTCTGTCCAGCAACCAATGTCTCCTGGGCCAGTCCCGAAGAGTGCAGGGTCCCCTGGGAGGACCCACATGTGGGCAGAAACCACTCCATCCCTGGCTGCCATCCGTGTTGTCTGTGTTGTCCGTGTTGTCCGCCATCTTCTTAGTCAAGGGCTCCGGTCCCCTTTCCCCTCCCACCACACCAGGCGACCTGGAAACTCACGATGCTTCCCAGGGATGAGCCATATTCCCATGGGTTTCTTGCAAGAGGCAGCTCTGTCAACCGCCAGCTGGTGCTGGGAGAGTTGGCAGCACGACAGATGCCAGGAATCCCAGGCTTGGCTAAGAAGGAACAGCTCCGGATCAATAACGGGCTTGCAGGCTGCCTCCGGCAGGCGCAGGAGGGTGGGACGGCCTACCCAGCCAGCCAGCCAGGAAAAGGCAGTGTCAGGCCGGAACGACT